TAGTACTTTTTTTTTAGCACATACCACCACATGGTCGTATGAACTGAGCAGATTGAAATTAAGCTGAAATGACTTGTCTGTGCACTGGAACACCCAGGGTTTTGGTGCATCTGCGAGGGGGTGGCTGCGCCCCCTTGCCCGGCGAGCACAGGGCGCCATGGCACCAGACGGCCAACACAGCTCGACCTTGCCTCAGCATGGCAGGAAGAAGAGGGGCGTCATAGCCTGCAGCTTCTCCTCGGATCCCCGCTGCTCTTTCCCATCTGTGTGGCCAGAGGCAGCAGGGATCCAAGGAGAAATGGAGTGCTGCAGTCAGCGGGGGGTGGGGTGGGAGAGGTTGCCTTTGACTTCAGGATGGCTGAGCGGAGAGAGAGCGCCGCTCGGCCAGGATCTGGCAGCCCTCTCTCTCTTCTCCCCGCTCGGCCTTCCTGAAGTGACAGCGCTTCCACCACCACCCCCGCGGCTTCAGCGCTTCATTTCTCTTCAGATGCCTGCTACATCTGCCCATACAGGCAGGAGAGAGCATCTGGGATCCCAGGAGAAGCTGCATGCTGTGCCGCCCCTCTGTGCGTGGCCGAGCGGCTCAGGAGAGCGGAGGATCAGTAAATACCTGTGATATTTACCGATCCTCTGTGTGCAGAGCAAACACTGGAGTGATCAGCTGATCACTCCAGTGTTTGTAAATAACTGGTGACACACTATGTGTCCTTAATTATGAATGAACAGGAAGTGCTGTACATCACATCCTGTTCATTCATGAATTTCTGAATGGGTAGTAGCAATCAGTATAGAGGCTTCTGCCCATTGATAACTGGATGATAGTAAAATATTCACTGGATGATAATATTTACTATCTCCAGTTTGTGAATGAATGGGAAGCCTCTGTACTGAGTGCTTTCCATTTATTTAGAACAGAGCCTGCAGAAAAAGAAATTGTGTCCTCAATTTCTTGTTCTATGTCAAAAGGAAAATGTCAGGGATCTGTTTAGACCCCTAATATTTCCCCAAAGACGCCCCCCTCAAGAAAAAAAAAATTAGGATTAAAAAACACACACATTATTAGACCATTCATATCCATAAGTCCAAGTTCCTAATGTTTCACAGACATTTTTAAATATAAAACTTTATTTAGAAGATGAACACTGTCACGTACAATACACAGCTGATTGAACATGGGTAAAGTGAATGGTTTAAAGTAATCATATCTTTAAAAGTTGCCTAGCAGCTCAGTCCCCAAGCATCTTAAGGCTCACACTATAAATCCTAGATTATTACTTTATTTATACATTTACTATTAAGTTATCTTAAAAGAGTCCCTGGGCTCAAAACACATTTACAAATAATCCTGAGCGGTAGGAGCTTTTCCACAATTCTCTATCTCTTGGGAGCACTAACGTTTTCTGTATAAAGCATATCCATTTTCTAAGTCAAAACATGTTTCACTGTATTCAGTCAGCTGATCACAGTCATACCCAGCTAAGCCATTTCCCCCAAAAAGGTCTCATCATACTATATCTCTGGAGCTATTTCAGAGCAATGTCACTTGACCGGAGTTTAGGGCTGCAACAACTAAATCGATTATAATCGATTGAAAAAGTTGTCAACATTTTCAATCATCGATTAATCGGCTTCCGATTAGTTGGCCCTGTTCACGGCTCCACATGCTGCACCTCCTCCCCACCTCACGCTCGCCGCTGCCAGACCCGCCCGCATCCACGCTCCTCCCCGCCTCACGATCGGCACAGGGACGCGGGGGGGGGGGGGATGACAGCCGCCGATAGACAGGCCCGATCTCAGAAGCACGTTGCTGGAAGACTGCTCAGGTAAGCCTGCACTTTCCCACACATGGTGCTCTATAATGTATTGCTGGAATTTATATTCCTCTATAGCTGATGCTACATTGTGCTGTATGTCATACAGCACAATGTAGCATCAGCTATAGAGGAATACAAATCCCAGCAATACATTATACACTATATGTATAAGGTATTGCTGGGATTTGTTGTATTCCTATATAGATGGTGGTATTCTGCATTGCGCTGTAGAGGACTACAAATCCCAGCAATAATACATTATACAGCGCAATGCAGAATACCACCAGCTATAGATGAGTACAACAAATCCCAGCAATAATACATTATACAGTGGTGCAATGCCGAATATCACTAGCTATAGAGGACTACAAAACCCAGCAATAATACATTATACATGGTGCAATGCAGAATACCACTAGCTATAGAGGACTACAAAACTCAGCAATAGTACATTATGCAGAGCAGTGCAGAATACCGCAAGCTATAATGTACTATTGCTGGGATTTGTTGTATTTCTCTGTAGCTGGTGGTATTCTGCATTGCGCTGTATAATGTATTATTGCTGGGTTTTGTAGTCCTCTATAGCTGGTGCCATTCTGCATTGATTGCTGTATAATTTTACACTTTCCATTTCACTATATTGCACACCACACTTTTTTTTTTTTTTTCTTTTTTACTTCCACCGCTCCAAGCCTGCTCCTGTGATTGACTGCAATCTCAATACAAACTAGTAGTCCATCACTGGAGCCATTTTTTAAAATGTATTTTAATTGTTTATCTGATTAATCGAACGTAATAATCGGCTAACTAATCGATTTTGAAAATAATCGTTAGCTGCAGCTCTACCGCAGTTATCAGAAATAAACACAATGGATATAGGCAGATGCTTACCACAGTATGCCATTGTCCCGGCTCTGCTCATCTGTGAAATTAGAATCCAGGAATGTATCCTTGTAAATCCGTCCTACTAAGCAGTACATGTCTGAAGCAACCTGGTCCTCGTGTTGTACCATTGGCAGCATTATCTCAAGAGCTTTTTCCCTGTCACCTGGATGTTTTCTCCTGCGATAAAGTGAGAATATTACACATTAGAGTAGAGCTCATGGTTTTTATTACACAGCAATGAAGGGTTAAAACCTGCCAGGGTTTTATCTCTACAGAAGAGAGTATTTTACACTTGCCCAACAGGAACACAAAACAGAGATAAAACCCTGACTGATGTTCCATTCCATTTCTAATCCATCAAAGACAAAATAAATGATCTTGCATTGTACTATCTGTAACGTCACAGCTAGGAGGGGGGAGCAGGGCTGTGGAGAGAGTGACTTCAAATTTTCTGCTTTGAACCTTGAGGATTAATTCCTCCACAGTTTCTGCTGCTGCAGAAGTCGGTGAGGTCTCATTTTAAAACTCATTTATTGCTTGTTCATAAAATGTAAAATGTAAATACTTAAAATGTCAATAGCCTGGCCACTGGTTCACTTTAAAAGTGTTCACTTCCATTTTGTGCACAGACATGGGATCATGCCGGTACAATGGCACATTACCTGGCAGCCTTTAAACATAGCCAAGAAAAAAAAATCTCCTTGAAGGAGGATCAATTTGATACGTTACTGGCATAAGACTATGGGCAACTTTCAGCAAACGCTGAAACAAAATATCTACTATCAAGACCAGCAAGTATTAACAAGTGTGAAGAGACCCTGAAATCAAAAGGACCTAATGGCCTGTGCTTGAGTTCCAGTGTCTGCACAACTGCTGTGGCCATTATTAGAGGTTCCCACTGTGCCGGACAGATTTTTTTAATAAAGATATAAAGTGCATCAGAAGGTACTAGAATGCACTAAGGTGGCCTGGAGCACCAAAACTCCCAGGTAGTCAAAAGAATTTCGTCTGAGTATGCAAGACGCTAAACAAGGGGCTGACTCAGCCCTCTAGATTTCACCTGTATTAAACTACCACTTTTCGATAATGATGCTGCCTTATCAACTTGTATCAGCAAAAGTATGCATTTAAAATCTAGGCCAAACCTAGGTTCAACACACGAACATTTTTAGAGTGCAATGTTGTACGATTTTGATATGTCTTCTTATCGGACAAACACTTACTGCTTTTCCATTATGAGCCTCTATTACACGGACCAACAAATAAATATTGCTTATAAAAGACAGTTCATTAATAAAAACTGTTAAATTAAAGTAATTTACTTTTCTAGTCTGATGCATTCAGATTAAACTCAATAAATCCAGAAAAGGCATGTTCACCAAAGCAAAACCAATTTTTATCCAGAACATGTGATGAGGGTTATTAAACCTCATTTTCCTGTATGCAGTTGTGAGTAAGAGTAATGCTAAAGCCTGTTTGTTTAAACAGATACTGCAGAATGAAAGCATACTTTGTAGAAAGAGAACAATCATTTTGATTGATTATGTTTGGAAAGTTACTGGAAAATTATTCTCACCTGTTCAGAGCAAACGCGTAATGAAATTTCACATGAAGATGGGCGGTTAAATCAAAGGTTGGCAGTCTCTCTAAGGTTTCCACCAGCTTCACGATTGAATCATAATCCTTTGCAGATTAATGGAATGTTTCATGAAAGAATAAAGAAAAGAGAACAAGTGTAATTATATTGATGGCAGTCTGGTAGAGCCTATGCAAGGGTAGTATAAATGCACAACATACAAAAACACACAGCATGCTCATTCATTCACAGTTTAACATACCTGGATATCTCTGTATGAAAGGAGTAAATTTATTATTATATCCGGAGATAAAACTTCAATGTTATCTACTCGCTGTCGTATCCTTGTCAGTTCGGCAGCCAGCTCTTTTCCAGAGTAATGGTTGCGGGCACGTCTGATGTCATTGAGAATTGCTTCACGAAAATACTGACTGCAGTTAATTAGAACAACCAAGTATAAGTAAAAGAAATACAACAACCAGACATGTACTAATAGGAAAATACCTTTCCTTGGGTTAAGGACATATTTCTGTCACAGGCAAAGATCAGAGCGGTATAGAGCTTTTTTTCAAATTATAGAGGAACTCCAGGCACTTAATTTCTAAAATTTGTGACCCACTCTCCCCAATGATGCAGAATATAATATCCCCCCTTCAGTCTATCATGAATGCAGCTGCCAGACTCATTCGCCTTACCAACCGCTCAGTGTCGGCATCCCCCCTCTGCCAATCCCTCCACTGGCTTCCACTCGCCCAGAGGATAAAATTCAAAATATTAACAGCTCCTATAAAAGCCATCCACAACTCTGCCCCCAGATATATCTCAGACCTTGTCTCAAAGTATCACCCTAAACTTCCCCTCCGCTCATCTATTGACCTCCCGCTTTCCAGCTCCCTTGTCCACTCCGCCCATACTCTCCTCCAGGACTTCTCTAGAGTCTCTCCCATCCTCTGGAACTCCTTAGCCCAACCTGTCCGTCTATCTCCCACCTTGACTGCCTTTAGGCGACCCCTAAAGACTCATCTCTTCAGGGAAGCCTATCCCACCTCAACCTAACCACTGAACCTTCACATTCTCACATAATTCATTCCCACAGCTACCTCATGTATCATTTCCCCCTCCTCTTTTAGATTGTAAGACCTCAGGGGCAGGGCCCTCCTTACCATCTTGTCTTGAATTGTATTGTAACTGTAATGTCTTCCTTATATTGTAAAGCGCTGCACAAACTGTTGGCGCTATATAAATACTATGTAATAATAATAATAATAATAATAATAATTATTATTATTATTATTTTGTCAAGTGAAAATGCAATAGGGTATTACTTGTCTTACTCAGGTCCCAGGGGATCCAGTGCCTCGGTATGTGGACGGGCACTCTGATGTTATCAGGTACAGTGCAGGACCATTGGTGCCCACTTGTCCTGCATATTGTATATGATGATATCAGCAAATGGAACAGTGACAGCACAGGTCAGAGATTGCCTAGTACAGAGGCTTGTAGAGAGGTGCCAGAACCAGTTGCTATTTTAAATGAATTAGCAGTGGGTGGAATGTTACACATTTTGATTACTTTTATTGAGTAGGACATTACAGTGGCTTTGCATCAAAAAATCTATTGTAAAGTGTGTTTTGAAGGTTTTTTTCAAATGTTATTTATTTTTATTTTTTTACTGTGTATATAACAAATATAGGGTGCACCCATAAAAAAGAATTCACAGAACATTAGGTTTTTTCTTTTTTAAATTTTATAAAATGAATCCCTAAGTCTCCTGACAATGAACTTATAAAAAAGAAAAAGAGTGGTGCATAGCTGTTACATGGAGATTTAGATGCATGGATGGCGATAGATGTGCTGGGACTACACTAAATTTATAAATAACATTAGTTAAGTAAATCCATTTTTTTTTAAAGCAATCTGATATGCAGATCCAAATGTAGCTAACATCAGAGGTGCTCTTGAGCAACCGCTAAACATTTTCAAAATATTTACATCCAAGGGTACCGTACCTCAAGCTAACAAATTATTCAGGCATTAAAAAATTTGTAACATGATTATTGTGTTAACAATCTGCTACTTTTCACCTTCTTGCGGCAGCCAGTAGTCCTTTGCTACCAAAGTGGTATTCTAAACATAGCAGGGGCAACAAGGCACAAATATAACTATATGCAGGTCCTTGCAAGCTTTGGTGTTATTTATGATTATTCAAGATTTGTCATGATCTCACGTTTCACTTGTGATGTATGATCATTCCTAATTTCCTGCTTCAAGCTTTGCTTGCATTAATAATTTTCTAGTTGTATGGATTACCCTTCTGCTTATATGCCTGCATGTAACATGTCTTCATTCATAAAAACTTGGAAGGTGATCTGGGAGTGTCCAGCAGCAAATCCTACACGTCCTTGCAGAGTTCCCTGGTGGGGTAGACATTCCTCCACTCTGCACTGCGGGGAGGTAAAAGCAACCACTGGTGACATCGGGGGTTCTTGCTAACTCAAAACATATTATGAATATAATGTATATGGATTAGAGCAAATATGTTAAAAAAAACAACAACAAAAAACACAACTTACCATGAGCTGGCCTGTGCTATTTTTAGGATCTGAGTAAAGCGATCCACAAGAGGCAGACAGATGGGACCGAGAAGTAGTTCTAAATTTGGCTGCATTAATTCTGTCAATCCTTTCATGAGGCTACTTTCACAGGAGAACACCTTGTTATGTGGTGTGATCATGTAAGGAACAAAGGTGTAGTTACCAGTGCACAACTGTAAAGAAAACCAAACGGTGCATAAGTTTTTTCCTTTATGCAAAGATGATTGATGCAATATGTGTTATAAAGCTACTGTACAGAAATCCAAAGCAGGACTTGCAGCAAAAATCAGCCCTTGCCTTGTAAAGCATGCCAGTATACATTTATGGGTGCAAACAAAAATGGCAAACAGTGGTGAAGAAACATGAATCGGCATCATTGTAGTAGCACTATTAGGCCCAAATGCCCAGTGGTCATAGGTTTATGCAAATGCTGTATATATATAAGACCCCATTCACACCAGGGCAACAGCGTTTCATCACGCTTTACAAGCATTTGCACGATTTTTATGCTCGTTTCAAAGCATTTTCTGTTCATAAGCAATAGCACTGTAGGCGCATTTTCAGCTCGTTTTACAGGTGTCCAATAAAAAGCAGTCTCAGCTGCAAAAAAACACGCTGATCTCTTCCATTGAAGTCTATAGAGCAAAACAGACTGATAAGTGCCACAAAAGAAGCTCAAAGACTATTTCAAACACCAGGCGTATTTTAATGCACGAATTAGCGTATTTGTTTGAACAGCCCCCATCGGAATAAATTGGATTTTATGTTGCATGCGTTTCAGTGTGGAAAAAATGCGCAACAAAATGTCCTTGGTGTGAACGAGATCTAATACAAGTCTGTAGCTGGGCAGCCTTGCTTTAATACAGGCATACAACGAAAAAGGCTGTGTTTGTAACACTGATAAAATTTGGTGCAGATGGATTGACTGTCAGAGTACAACTGTAAGAGCACTTTGCTCCCTCCACATATCAGCATGTTCAATACCAGAACCTGATTGGCTTATTAGGCTGGCTCTTCCATCCCCAGTACTTACCCGCATTGCAATTGAACAAAAAATATATATTTAAAATACAAATATAAAATAAAAATGTTCTAAAACAGACCCGATATTTCCCTTTTAGAATTGAAAAAAACTTTGGAGGACACAGAGTCCCTAATCTCTTTTACTGCAGCACCTGTTATGAATGAACAGGAAGCCTATATACTGGGTGCTTCTGTCCATTCATACATAGTGGATATAGTGTGAGTTACTATGTCCACAATCCTGAATGAACAGGAAGTGATGTAGATAATTTATTCATCAGTTCATCAGTTATTCATAACTGGTACATAGTAAGCACACCACTGTATGTCCATTTATTTACAAACACTCAGCGATCAGCTGATCGGTGAGAGTTTGTATACAGCTCTCCATCCTGAATCTGCTGGCAGCGGCGAGGAGAGAAGTTTTCAGGAGGCCGAGTGGGCGGTGACAGCAGTCAGGATGTCGAGCCGTGCAGGGCGGTGACAGCTGTCATCGTTACAAGAGGCCAAGCTCACCTCCCGCACCTCTGCCGCCTTTGCCAGGATGGTGAGTGGTGGAGAGCATTGTAATCTGTGACAAGAAGTGGAGCTCTCCTCCCCCACTGCCCACTCAGCCTCCTGACACAAGCGGCAGAGCCACGAGGAGCGGGAGGTGAGCTTGGTCTCTTGTAACGATGACAGCTGCCACCACCCCGCAGGGCTCGGCATCCTGACTGCTGTCACCGCCCACTCGGCCTCCTGAAAGCTTCTCTTCGCCCCGCTGGGCGGCGGCCGCTGCTTTAGAAGGCACACAGACCGGCGCGGAGCGTGGAGGAGAGAAGCTAGGGATACACTGAATTTTCAGCCACATTTTCGGTCATCATGGTTTCTTTGGGCATTTTGCCAAAATGTTGGTACATCCCCAATATGAACGATAAGTAAAACATATAAATGGTCATATTCCATCTGATACTTTAAAAGTTAATAATATTTATTTAGTATATATGTTTAGTATTCATGTATTATTCCTTTTCATTATTAAATAAACACCAAGCATTTGGATTTGCCTACATTATCTATCTGCCTAATGTATTACAGATTATTTTATATTGTTTACATTTACATATAAATATAATTATATGTGATGAAATGTAAAAAAGTAAAAAGTGAGCAATTGAAACATATAAGTTTTTATTCCCTGATTTTTATCGCCTAGGGTAGACCTGCAACTTGATAAATTAAGTGTTGCCTAGAAAATAATCCCTCGATAACACAGCATATACTAACACTGGAGTATACAGGCCCGGCTATGAAGCAATAAAACATGTAACCACATGGATGAAAAACAAGATACAGGAAAGACAAATGAGTTACTAAGAATATCAGTGAGTTTCCTGCATAGTCATAGTGGTTATTTCAAAGAATAAACCAAGAAAAAGAAAGAACACAGCTGTTAAAAAAACTGCATGTAAACAAATAGCCATGTAATTATAAGATAAATAGCGTATTTACTTGTTTGGTATATCAGCAAAGAGACAGGACATGTTTAATGTGGCACCATCATCACAGTAAGAGAGGGATACACTATAATAGAAGCATAACTCTACAGTTGCTCTCAGATAGCTGCCCATCCATTTTTAAAAGCACGTTTATTGCTTTACTATGTCATATAGATCTACTCTTTTGATACAAAGCTTTAGGTCTCCAACCATATTTACAACTCAGATTCCCCTAAGGGCTCGTATAAAATAGTCACAATATTACCATGCAGTTTACTTAGTAGATAGGGAAAAATTGGGAAGTGAAGGTAAAAAGAGACAGCTAACAAGAATGATCTAAATGATTGTAATGCTTAATGTACGTATTCTATACATACTATAGGCCCAAACTTGGAAGAAGACTGTCTGTGTCCAAGATGACAGAAGAGATGTACAGAAGCTGTCCCTCCCAGGTGCAGGCTTCTGCATGGACGTGCACACTGTAAGGCTGTGCATGTCCGTGTAATTGAGGCCATATACAATGCCCTTAATTACAGAAGCCTTGACCTCTTTAAGTCTCATTGTCACAGGTCGGCTAGAACTATGAGGTGAGTGAAAAGCACTCACCTCATAGTTCTCCTTTAAGAGAGAGTTTTGTGTTTGCACACTCCAAAATGCCCACTTCCTCCATGTAACAAACGTGCAGGCTGCTCACGCCCCAGGTCCTGCCTTGTGGAAAGGTAGGTGGCCTGTAACATGCTCCTGCATACCTAACTATGTTTTCTACTAAGCCTGACATAGGCTGGGATGTTGGAACAGTAAATGAGTTAAACAATTAGGCGAGCGAAAGAAAATATACTCACAGTATTCTTTTGGAATATGATTTCCTAAAAGAAAAAAAACAAATATTAGAACAGGAGCATTTTATTTTCTTCTTTACAAAAGTAAAAAATGCGAAACTGACCATTCCATGTGAACAGTTACACAGCTTAACCTGTGCAAGTGAGGTGCCCTAATGCAGCATAGTTTGTAATATTTTAGCAAGGATAACAGAAGAATCTCTAACGGTCAACTGAATGGTTAATTTAGTACACAGGACTAGTCACCAGTATTGCCTGTGGTCTCCCTTTATCTGATCATTTTCCCATTACTGATTTACCATGCCTTGTTTTGCGCCTTCTTTGTCTAGAGGTGGCCATCTTGGTAGAGGCAAGTCTTTGCTTCCAGATGTATGTGAGCCTCCAGCCAGGAGAGCAGCATATACTGATATCACCAAATCTGACTTCAAATCTGGTGGCACTAGCAGTCAGAGGAAGCAGTGCCTTAGAATTCACACTGCAGATATGAAGCTATGAGGCTGTAGACAAAGAAGTTGCTAGATAACCTACATAGCAGGAAGTGCACTGCTATTTTTCCAAGAGGAATTCCAGACACTGCTTAGGGATAATTAAAATTTTTAAACACAAAACTCATGGGTGGAGCTCACCTTTTTGACACAAAGTGACTAATTAGAAGTCAAATAATAGTTTCTGTATATAAAGAAAAAACAAGTATTAGCTACCTTGTCTGTCCTAAATGAGTTCCATTGACTTACCTTGAGTGACTGAAGAGATTCACAGTTTGTGTCGCAATAAAGGATGATATTATTGGCCATACTAAAGCTTTCTCTAACGCCCAGGTGATAGAAAAGGGAAGGCTGCCGAAAGGCATCAGTCATTTCCACGACCGCAATATCTGCATGACAGAGGAAAAGCAAAGTCAGCACTTTAACATGCTAAACATAGGTACACATTTCAGTATGACTGTATTTACATAGAAAGGGGGTGTGTTATATACCAATTACAGGAAGTTGGTCTGTGGCAAAAGCTTATGTTGAAAAAATGTTTTTTCCTGTAACTGTCCATTTTAACCTTTTATAAAGAAGTAAAAAACAACTGCAGTCTGCTTCATAGAAAGTATATTGACAATAGGGTTCCTCTTACATTATTGTTCAGTATAATAACATAATATAGTAATCTCCTAATAATGCAAGTTTTAGGCATCAGTATATAACCGCTGCATTGCCAAAACACTGAGTTGTGATTATGGTGGAATTATCCCAAATGGTATGGAAAAATGTCTTCAGGAACATAAAGATGCAGAGAAGACATTAATAATAATTAGTATGGAAAAAAGGTAATCACAGCAATGTTTGACTATGGCTTTAATTGTTCACAGAATCCTTCTACACACAGGTTCAGGAGTGGGACAAACAACAAAAAAGGTACATATGAGCCTTGTGAGTTCTATGACAGAAAACACATGGTAGACTGAAGGTAAACAGGTTGTGCTCATACTTGATGAGAAGTTTTATTATAAGCTTTATTCTTTTCTTGACATTTAAAAAAAAAAAAAGAAGAAGATTACAGCAAATCCGAAATCCATAATATACCCGTTGGAATATATAAGTAATAACTCAAGAATCTAAAACCATAACTTTGTAAACTTAACCCACTGTAATTCCAAATAGTGTGAAGCTCAAAAACAAAGCTGTATTCAAGCAAAACTATGACATTCAGAGCTGGTGAGAAAGTCCCACTCTAACAAAAGAACAGTTTGAAATACAATTTCCTGCCAAGTCAAATGATTCAAAAAAAGTTCCTTTGTAAGCAAAATTTTGCAGCTGGTAACTGTATAAGAATGAAAACCTCATTTAGCTTGAGTTCACAATTAAAGGGCATCTGTCATGGAGCAAAATATCTTTGTAAGAATCCTATGAGTGAAAATACCTTTTATCTGACCTATGGCCTGCCTACTAATTCCAGGGCAGAGTCCATTTCTTTGCCATGAAACTAGGATATGGCAAATAAATGGCAGTTTTAATACAGAGGGAGCAATAAACAGTATCAGCAGACCTGCCCTCATAGACCCCCAAACAAAAGTCTATAGATGTCAGTGAGGGTTGGAGTAGAGTCGTAGACAGACAGATCTCTCAAATTTAACAGCAATCAGTGAAAGCTTTGGTTGTATGTATGGTAGACGTCTCAGGTCAGTGGGTCATGGTTTCCTCCCTTATTCAGCCAAAATTTGGTTGTCAGACATTTCTTTACATAATTATTAGAGCTTTTGACATCAGGTTTTGAGTATTTTAAAACTATGCCCACAGAGATGTCTGCCGTACAGATACTAAAGCAAGATAACAGTTGCACGTCCTATTTTATAGCTTTAGGCTGGGTTCACACTTGGGCGTTCGTAATATGTGCGTTTACGAGGGCTATCCGGCTGTATTCTAATGAATACGCCCCAAAGAAGCTCCTGTACATCTTTGTGCGTAGGGCGTTTTTCAGCGCGTTCCTATGCGCAGAAATACGGCCAGGTGGGAACCATGCCCATAGGAAATAATGGGATTTCACTTGCTGGGCGGTTTACAGCGCGTCGATCAGCGCTGTAAAATGACCAGGTGTGAACCAGGCCTTAGTGTACATTGGTTAAAGCCTCTTTAAGGATGTGATCCACATCACTTAAATACAGCCCTGTGTTCCTGTGCTAGTTGACACACCAGCGAGCAGTTGTATATGTAGCATTAGAGCATTATACATATTTTTATGACATCAAAAAAATCTGAAGATTCTAACACCGTTCTTGGATATAGACTAGACATTTTTGTAGATCTAGACTAAAACATGACTCACATTAAAAGGTGGCTTAAATTTAAGTGTTATCTATGTTAACTCATTGATGAAGAGCAACAGAAACCTGAAAGCTATACCTTTCCTAAAGGAAAATGCTGCTTCTGGTTTCCTCCATTCCTGGTCATTTTCAAATTCATTTTTTTTAACTTAGCAGATATTACATAATTAAGTTCCTTGACCTGCAAAGATGTAGCTAGTATTGAAGGAAACCTAGAGCACAACATTCTCCACAACAAAAGTTCAGCCTTTTTTAAAATTATTTTTACATCCTCACAATACTTTTCATGAAAAGTTAAAGATCAGCTCCAGCATCTTAAAATAAATATTTTTTTTAAAAAATGCAAAAATAAATATTTGGCCCTTTGTCTGTCCCTGTCCAGGCCTATCGCAGTCCAACTGATCGCCAACCTGTACTTGGTAATGGCTGGCTGACAGTGAATGCACTGGCCTCCAAAGATCCCCTGCAAGCCATAGCCCAGTGCAGGTTGACGATTGGTCCGTGTCTGGACCGCAGTCCTCTTCAGTTGCTGGTTGCTAGGACTGCTGGCATCCTACCAACCAATTATGTCAAGTGTCCTCCTGCAATGTGCTGGAAGATTTCATTATGACTTGTAAACTAGATGAGCAGGTCTGTCTATCCAAACACATGGTTAAAAGGAGAACTATGGGGTTAGGACACAAACTAGCGTCCTCCCGTTACCCAAAGCTCAGTATACCGCGGTATACTGAGATGCTGCAGCTGAAACGGATCCCGCCAATTATATCTGGATCCGCCCAGCTGCGTGAGTGATAGCTGGCTCTGCCTATCTAGAGGCAGAGCCAGCTGTACCTGCCCCTTCCCCCCCCGCACCGCCAGTCAGCGCTGGAGGATCGGACAGGGGAGGGGAGAATCCATTCACTCCCCTGTCATGGCTCTCTGCAGTGACAGGATCAAGAAGTGAGCGAGCGCCGGTACGTGTTCGCTCACTTCCCGATCTACTGAGCCGACCTGAGACAGTTTCATTGTCACAGGTCGGCTCAGATTATGATGCTGAGTGAAAAGCACTCACCTCATAATTCTCCTTTAAAGATCTCAAGGCACTGAATGTTGATGCACTTTAAAAAAAACTGTCCCTCATCTATACTAATCAATAGAAGCTGCCTGCAGTATCCTATGTATAATCCTGCTCTAAACAAACAAAACGCTAGAAAGGTTTAAAAAAAATGTTTTAATAATTTTTAGGTATGTTGTGGAAATAGGAAAACATACCAAACGTATAGTGTGTGTTCCTAAATTTAAATGCAAAATGGAACAAAATTAAGGTATAACAGCTGGGCACCTAGCATTTTCATAAGGAGGTTAGTATTACTACCCGCAGTCCCCTATTTTCTCATAGGAAATGGTTACTTTAAACAGTGCTTAGCAGAGTCCTTCTTTACTGACCAATGCTGCAATTGCAGACTCGACTCGCTTCTTAGTATAATTCTTTACAAGAAAAACAAAAAAAACATACTCTAAAAATGACTTAGAGCCAGGTAAATGTTCCAAGGTCAACTGCACTGACAAATTACTGCTTATTATATCTAAGCTGCTGTGTAGAAATGCCCTTTAATTTGCTCTACTTGACTCCACGAGTCACTAAAACAACAGAGAGCACACTATGATGTGTGCGTCAGCAAGCCTACCTAGAAAAGACTTCACAATCTGGTGTTATATGAAGTGACACCCAAGATGACAGGAAATTAATTAACGAAGCATGCAAATGGCAGAGGAAATTACACAAGCTGGGGACCATAAATCTGTTTACTTACTTGTCGCCAGATTAAAATAATAGAAAACAGTATAACAGCATAATTGCAATAATATCCCGTTTATATTCAGTCATATAGCATAAAATACACTAAAATTTTAATACAAATTTGTTTGGCAATATTTAGCTCAAAAATGTTCTATACCTCGTAAAGAGGTTTTACATTTGAACAATAAAAAGGTTACCCAAACTCCAACAAAACCCATTTAATGTTTAAGTTACACTAAACTCAGGATACCACCATAGTGACCTACACGGTCATCAGAGCCAGCAGGAGCAGAGATGAAGAGAAGGAGACAGAGCTGACACAGGAATGTGGGGGAAGGTAATTTGTGTGTGTGGGGGGGGGTGGGGAGAGGGTGCAGTTTGGG